TTGTGTTACTTGGATTTTGTTCTTCTAAGTAGCTCAGTGGTAGAATGGTCACTGAATTATATAACACCTTCCAAGGGTCAGGATGATTTTAATTGTGTGTTTTGTATTTGGGAATTAAAGATCAGCTTTATATATATATAAAAAAAAAGAAAGGAAGGAGGAAGAGAAAGGTGTCTAAGATCACAGAAGAAAATATAGCAACAGTAAGGCCACCTCCCCAATCCACGCTCTGACAGCAAAATTTTGATTAGCCCTGATGTGACCAAAGGACCAGATTAGCCATATTAGCACAGACTTAGCAGCATTGGGTACTCAAAGACTGCCTGTTGGATGCTTCCCACATTTGCAAGTGGGAAGGGAATGGATAGGAATTGGTGTTGGGGTGGGCTCTATGCCTGCCACGCACCAGCCAGGCAGGCTGGTTAGCTGTGCTGTGAGGAGACATGGAGTAATGCCCAGAAAAGGGGTGTCACAACCAACTTTCCTTCCAAAGCAACAAGGGAGCCCGGGGGGATTTGTGCAAAAGGTGTGTCAAGCCTCACCTGGGGCAGTGCGAGTTATGCATTTGGCCTTTATTCAGGGCAGTCCCTCAGGGCACATTCCAGCCCTTAAAACAAACCAATATCTAGACCGCTAGTTTCACTTCTGTGTAGGAGTAATAATAATGATGATTAGAATTCTCTTTATGCCCCATGAAGAAGTGCTACAGATTGTGAACAGCTGAGTTAGAAAACAGCACAAAGCAGATATAAAAATAAAATCAAGTGGTAAAAATACAAAACAAAGGGGTATAGTTACAAAGGACGCCAGTGCTTTTTAGAATAGAAGACCACAGTTAGGGGATGGGAAGGGTCTTTAATAGATTGGGAAGGAAGTGTTAGATTCCAGAAGCAAGTGCTACCTTTTGTTCTGTTACAGCGAAAACTTGGTCACCTGCCAACCTACGGCATTGTGATAAGATCCTTAAAAACAGGTGGTGCACACGTCTAGTTAGTCACAGAAGGAGATTAGAAAGGACAATCACTTTGGTTCTGCTAACAAAAGCTTGCATTTACAAGGCACACTGAATTATGTCATGTTAACCAGAAAGCATAAAATTCCTAGAGAAGAGGGTATCATTGTAACATAAATATTTACTGCTGCATCGTATAAATTCTTTATCGTGGTACAGGAAATGCCATGGTAAAGGCAATACCATGATGTCTTCTGATTTTGTAGTGGTGGTCACTCTGCCAAGGAAAAGATTTGCATGACTAGATTAATTTAATTCAAATTGTACAAAGGGGTGAGAACTGGGGTAGATATATTTATTTAGGGTCCTGTTTAAATGATATTAAAAATACCTAATACTGAAGCTTTAGAAAATGCCCCCACAACTCAGAAATTTTTTTGAAGTCTGAAGGGGCCATTAAAACCATCTAGTCTGTCCTCCTGCATAAACTGGGATATGTTAATATCTGCATAATGACGACCTCCCTGCTTCATAAAAATAATCACATGCAGGAAACAAATTAGTTCAGACAGGAAATAACTCAAGACATGTGAAAAGCCCCCACATCAGCTGTGACTAAGCAAAGACGTAATTAGCCAGAAATTCACCTTTCTAGGAATCTGTTTGCACAATGTCCCTTAATCCTGACACTGCAAATAATGCTCTTTTAAGCCTTGGCTGGGAAACCCTTATGATCTCCGGTACACATGAGGAGGTCCCAATGAGCAGAATGGATCTACTGCTGTAAGCAAACACATAATAACATGAGTAAAGACAGCACAAGCCAGCCGTAAGCATTTTCACTACTATGGCAGTGTAATATCAAAACAATATTTATTACAGCCCACTCTGCATACCACGTACTTAAAGGTCTAGCATACAGCCTGAACATGACTGCAACTACAGCTGTGCAGCGCCTGAATACAACCCATTCCTCGTATATAGCACTGAGTAACTCACAGGGCAATAATCCAGTCTAGACTTTATTT